TCTCAGTCACTTTCGGTGTGTTTTTTCATCCTCCTCTTCCTCTTCATTTGCTTCATTTTAAAAATGTTTATACATAGTGATTCTGGCAAAATTTTATAAATATTGGCATAATATACATTCCACTCCTTTGCTCATGTATTTATAAGTTTAATAGATATTTCCTACTCCCTTTCCAATAGTCACATCACATGTTACTATTCAATGAATGCATTGTTATTGTTCCCAGTTCCCACCTCAACAACATCAACTACCATTCAACTTTTGTGTCATATTTGTGCCAACATGAAAGGGCTTAAGTCATATTGAATTATTCTTTTCATATGCAATGTTTTTATTGTTCATAAGATCAACTCTTCTTCTGTCCTGGGGAATGAATGCAGGGTCTTTGCACTGAGTACATGCCAGGCATTGTGATTGTTCTGTTTAAGCAGGGCCTTTATAAGTTGCCCAACTGGTGATGCTGATGAGAACAGAGGAGAGAGCTGTGCTGAGAGGACTCTGGGGGCAGCGGGGACTCAAAGTCACAGTCATGGCCAGGGACACTCCAGGGAGATGCTGACACTGGTGTCAGGTTTATGCAACTGGAAACAGTTATCATCAGAAAGTAACTTCTTCACACCACATCAATTCAAAATCCCAGAGTCCAACAGAGGATAGTGTTAGGAAATTGTACATGTTACTTTAAACTCCTCCATTTTATACCTGACTTGCGGGTTCTTCCCAACTTAAGTTTTGTTTTCCTCCCCGAGTTGAATTCTTCCCAGAAATGACGCCAACATGTGATAAGGGACTTCTGCAGGACTAAGACCTTATAATGTAAGACTTAAGTCTCACTTTTACTCCTGGAGTGTGAACAGCCAAGAGGCTTCCACAATGCTGGGCTCAGAAGCTCAGCGAGGCTCCAGGAACTTGTCGCACAGCGAGAGTCACCCAGGAAGGAACACACCAGGCAAGTTGGCAAATAGACCTTTATTAGTCTGGCCAGATGGCACTCCCCAAACCAAGTAGCTCAGAGAGGCAGCTAGCTCAGAAACAGAGGCCATTTTATATAGGGCTGAAGGGGGGGTTTACACTTAAAACTTACAGGAAGAGGACAAAGGCAAAGAATCAGTTGTTCTGACCTAGTGGTTATCAGGCATGTACTTGACCATCACGTACTAATGATCAGCAGATTGCTCATCCATTGTTCCACTTACGACTTAGATTATAATGTTCAGAACATTCAGATTACAGACATACAAAGAGTGACACAATCCATGTTGAGTCTCTGTGTTCACTATAGTCTCCACCCAGCCTTCCAGCTACTTAAAACAATTACCTAACAATTCACAATTAATCATTAGTTATCCTATAAGGGATGGGGGGAGCGACAGTCTCTAGGTCATTTGCTGGTCAACACAGAGTCGCTCTGGTTCAATCAGGCTCTTACATTCCCCACTGATTTTTGGACCTAAATCAAATCTTTGATTTACTTATATCTGATTCTGAGCCTTACTAAAGGAACACATTGTAAAAGACAACAAGTTATTGCAATACAAAATCCTAATGCCATCACACAGAGTATCAGTTGTTTTACCCAGGTAATGTCAGGCAACCAACTTGTTAACCATTTAAATAAATCCCATCCTATCTGTTCATTATGAATCTTTGTAGCTAAATCTTTGAGCTTTTCTATATCTTGCTCTATAGCTGGCCCATTATTTGTTAAATTGAAGCAGCACATATTTTTAATCCTCTCACAAGCTTGGTGATGAAATAATAGCAGATAATCAACTGCCGCCCTATTATCTAAAATTGCTTGTCTCTGTTCCTGGAGTTCTTGATTAATTAGCACCAGTGCAGCAGAGGTGGTATTTAACCCTTTAATTACCTTGCAAGCTAGTTTTCTAACTGCCTTTTCAGCATGTATTCCAATTGAGGGTATACCTATCACAGAAATAGTCATAGGAATAACTTCAGCATCTGTTAAAAGTCCCACATCATCATCACAGCCTGGTGAAGTATAGGGAGACCAGCGTTTTGTTCTGTTGGGTGGTGAGAGGTCTCCCCTGTTAGGTAAGATGACTGCTAATTTACTAAGACAATGGCGGGCCTCAGTCAAGTTTGCTGGGATGTAATTGTAAGTTATTCCCTCACAAGTGTAAAACCATCCCAGTGGCAAAGTAATATGGCATTTGCTGTAAGGAATCTTTTGTTCTCTAGAACACTTCATTACATCTGTTTGTTTAAGATTTAAACACTGGGAAGTACAACCTTTATATTTGGCACAGAGAGTCTTATTGGACATAGCTACTCGAGGGATATATAGCTTAATAGCATTCTTTGGTTTGTAACAGGTCATCTGTCCCCAATTGTAGCTATTCAAATAACTGAGATTTACTTGTGAGAAATTTTTAAACATAGTATATGGTCTAATACTTTCAGGTGGGGTGCATACTGGAACCAAACAATTTCCAAGCACATAAAGAAAATTCACATCAGCATTTAAACATATTTCAGACAAATTTAAGGATTCAGCTAATTGCACCCAAACATTTTTAGTATGACCTAAGTTCTCTTTGGACAACGCTATTATTGTCCCAAGGGAAATCACCCAGATCATAATGAAGGTCCAGTTGAGCGGAGTTTTACTTTCAATTCTCTGGATTTGCTGACCACGCTCCATTTTCCATGTGCCTCTGGGCTGTTGTCCGGTCCGGGCTTGAGGTGGTTGCGATGGATCCACTTCGGGTGTTCCGCAACCTTCATAGCCAGAGGAGTAGACAGGACAACTGGAAAAGGCCTCTTCCACCATGGTTCCAAGGTCTTGGAGTCAAACTTGGTCTTGTAGTAGAGCCATGTCTATATGGGGAACCAAGGTGGGAGTACTCCCATAGATAATTTGGAAAGGTGACAGATTCAGAGGAGGCTTGGGAGTACATCGAATACGCAACAGAGCAAAAGGGAGAAGCTCCACCCAACTTAATTCAGTCTCTAGGCTCAATTTAGTTAAAATCTCTTTTAGTGTTCTGTTAGCTCTTTCTACCTGTCCTGAACTTTGAGGTCTGTAAGCACAATGTAAATTCCATCTAATTCCAATGCTTAGGCTAATCAGTTTAGACACTTTAGCCGTGAAGGCTGGGCCATTGTTGGACCCCAGGACTAAGGGCAAGCCAAATCGGGGACCTATCTCAGTCAGGAGATTTTTTACTGTTACCTCAGCTGTTTCCTTTTTAGTAGGGTGTGCTTCTATCCACCCTGAGAATGTGTCTATGAAAACTAACAGATATCTATAACCATGCTTAGGCTAATCAGTTTAGACACTTTAGCCGTGAAGGCTGGGCCATTGTTGGACCCCAGGACTAAGGGCAAGCCAAATCGGGGACCTATCTCAGTCAGGAGATTTTTTACTGTTACCTCAGCTGTTTCCTTTTTAGTAGGGTGTGCTTCTATCCACCCTGAGAATGTGTCTATGAAAACTAACAGATATCTATAACCATACATGCCTAGTTTCATTTCGGTGAAGTCTAGTTCCCAGTGTTCTCCGGGAGTCAGTCCCCTGTATCGGACCCCCTGGGGGCCCAGTTACCCGATTCGCGTTTACCTTGAGGCAGGTGGGGCACCGTCTCACTGTATCCCGGGCCTTCTGGACTAATTCTCTGCTGACAAAGTGGGGCCGTAGCAGCGCCATCCTCCTCTTTTCTCCTAGGTGGGTGGATTCATGGAGCTCATTTAGCAAAGTGTCGGCCATCGTAGCTGGCAGAACGACCTTCCCTTCATTTGTCATTCACCATCCATGCTTTCCTTTGGTCCAGTGGTTCTTATGCATCTCTGTTATTTCTTCCTCTGTGTATTTAGGCCTGTCTGGGAGCACAGGTGTAGGTAACAGCACCATTTGTTTCCCCACTGATTTCTGGGCAGCTTGCTTTGCTGCCTGGTCAGCTGCACTGTTTCCAATCACTTCAGGGCTGGAATTCCTTTGATGTCCATGGCAGTGAATGATGGTAACCTCCCTTGGCAGCCAAATAGCTTGCAGCAGAGCCAATATCTCAACTTTGCTTTTAATTTCGCAGTGTTGAGCATCTGCAATGCTTGCTGGCAAGCCTCTGTCCATTCAAGGGGTGCATTTCCCCCCACAGTAGCCTCATGTAGGGGTTTGGAAATTTCAGCAAAGCTAGGTATCCAGATTCTACAGTATCCTATGGCCCCCAGGAACTCATGCACCTGCTTCTTTGAGCTGGGCGTGGGGATCTATAGGATCGTTGACACTCTGGATTCAGCTAACTTTCTTTCTCCTTTTTCAAGGACATAACCCAAGTAAGTTACCTTGGTTTTGCAGAGCTGGGCTTTCTTCCAGGACACTCGATATCCAAGACCTTTTAGGGCCTCCAGGAGTCCCTCGGTGGCTGTGAGACAATTTTTCTAGGTTGTGGTCACCACTAAGAGGTCGTCTACATACTGGAGAACAGTTGCATAGGGAAAAGCTTTCCTTACCTCTTGTAGATCTCTGCTGAGAGCCTCCCCGAACAGTGTGGGGGAGTTCTTAAAGCCTTGTGGTAATCGAGTCCATGTCAATTGTCCAGTAGTTCCAGTGTCTGGTAGCTCCGGTAATGGAAGACTTCATGGAGGAAAGTGCTCCAAGGGGAGCTTTGAGGATTGAATGGGCTGCTCCAGTGTCTACAAGAAACTTAACATTTGTTCCCCCTATTCCCAAAGTTACCATAGGCTCATTGGGGTTAAGCGGCCATGAGCCATGGCTCCATCAGTTTTCTTCTTCCCCTGTGAAAAAGATTCCTCCCATTTTCGTTTCTGGTTTCTTTTCTAGTTCCTTTTTCTCCTCCTTATCCTCCTCCTTATTCTCTTTCTTCTCCCATAGTTCCTCCTCCTCATCATCTTTATTATGCTCTTGTTTCTCTTCTTTTTTTTCCTCCCCTTCTTATTAAAACCTTCTTCTGCCATCATCATTATACTTGCTTTTGCCATCTTTTTAGTTACTCTATCTTCGGGTGGATCCCTGTTTGTGAACACCTTCATTGCTACACTTATCAATTTTTCCCTATTCTCTCCTTCAAAGCCCTCAATTCTCTGTAATTTTTTTTGAATATCTGGGGGCCAACTGAGTTACAAAAGCCAGATTAATTGCCTGCCTGTTCGCTGGAGCGTCTGGGTCAATTGGAGTGTATGTGCGGTACACCTCCAGTAAACACTCCAGGAAGGCAGAGGGGGATTCCTCAGGCCCTTGTAGGACCTCGCTTACCTTGCTCAAATTGGTAGGCTTGTGAGTGGCTCCCCTAAGGCTGGCCAGGAGATGCTGACGGTAGTTGCGAAGAGCTTCCTTACCTCTGGTGGAATTCGATTCCCATTTGGGACGGGAGATGGGGAGTTGTGCTTCATTTTGGGCCTGTTGTTCTTGGTTGTCAACAAGCCCCTTAGTTCCCCCCAGCACTGACCGAATAGCATGTCTTCTAATTCTTTCTTGTTCCTCGGATGTGAACAGAGCCTGTAAAAGTTGCTGACAATCATCCCAGGTGGGGTCATGGGTGTTAAACACAGACTCGTCGAGAGGGAGATCAGGGCTGGCGGTTTCTCAGAGATCTTTTTAGTTAACACTAGTCAAAACTTTTGCAGATCAATTAACAGATCTCATAGAATTAGAATCAAAAGGAATGAAAGCTGTTACTATAAAAGTAAACCTTCTGTAACAAACTTGAAACCAACAAGCAAACATACATATTTTTCTGTTAAATCATTTCCACATACCTTTTCTACATACTTAAGCTTTCTGGTCTTGTACATCTTTCTTTATATCTTTCTAACAAGACATGCATACAAAATCCTTTCATATTAAAAGTATATCTCTTTTACCCATAACTTTCTTAATATTTTTCTTCTACCATCTCATTTACTATAAACCTTCTGTAATAAACTTCAGTTTAAAGTGTCCTTTTCTTTTGTTCTCAGATTGTTACATTTTAAATTTGACTGGCTGCCAAAAGAACAGTATTAACCTTGAGTTTTTATCAACAAAGTACAGAAAAGAGCAAGTTAACCTTATAATCACAATTCAAGAATTTGCAATGCACAAGAAATGTTTAAAGCACACCAGTTCAACTTAATTCAAATTGAAACAAAGATACATTTATCAAATAGTTAAAATTTATAACTTGATTTCTCTTGTAAAATCTCTTTCACAGATAGTCATACAAGAGGTTAGTATATTCCCTCCCTGAGGCCCCTTCCAAAGACAAACTAGGGAGCAACCCAGGGGATCTCACCATTTAGACAGAGGATTTTATCCATTCATTTTCTTTCTGTTCCACTACCGGTGAGCTGGCCTCCGCGTCTGTTAGGAAATTGATCATGTTAAAGTATGCTGTGATGCCGCCTCACAGGCTGCATTCTCCTGGTACATCTTGGCTCCTAAAATGACCTCATGCCCTTATCTCTGGTCCCCCCCCCACAAGGCCACAGTGGTCCAGGAAGTTGAAACCTGTGTCTGCAGGACTGGGCCCATAAAAGCAATCTGGCCTGTGATAGGTTAAAAGTAATTCACTCCTCCTAAATAAGCAATAGCCCACCCCAAAACTGATAAAAGGACCTTCCTTTCTTTGTTCTCTCTCTCCTTCTGCTTCTTCCTCCTCTCTCTCGCTCTCTGCCCTCTGCCTCCTGCTCACCTCCCTACAATAAAGATCTCCTGCCGGACCTCTCGGTGCGTGGGTGGCATAATTGGGTAAGGGGCACCCAAAGGGTCCTACAATATACAATAAAGATCTCCTGCCGGACCTCTCGGTGCGTGGGTGGCATAATTGGGTAAGGGGCACCCAAAGGGGGCTCAAGACCCCTTTCATTGGTGTCAGAAGCGGGATCTGGGATTGCCAGGCCCACAGGCTTTAGCCTGAGGCCCGAAACCCAGATTCTACGGCGCCCCTGCTCAGCCCCCGCCCGACGTCCGCGACCATTCTCCTTGTCACCATCTTCGCAGCCACCACGGACCTGCTGATCTTCTGACCCACACTTTTTTGGGTAAGTTCCCCTTTCGGAAAAGTCTTCAGGGTAACGGGGACCCCAGACCTCAGACCACCCACTGGGATCACATTTGGGACACAGCCGGGTGCCAGGCTCTGTCCTCACTCTCTCACAAACCAGGTTTGCCGCATTTGAGCTAAGTCCGGGACTTAGCTTCACTTAAACTCCTATCTTGTGTGAGGGACGCCTTCACAAGAAACCAAGTTTCCGTCCTCTAGACCAGGTCTAGAGAAGAGGGGGTCTTATCAGAACTCTCGGAGACGTCTGGTCTGATAACCTTCTTATCCCGGTGGTCATGGGCTCTGGTTCCTCTATACCCGCAGACTCTCCTTTGGGGTGCTTACTCAGGAATTTGGAGGGTCTTGATTTAAAACCCAAATGGCTAATTCGCTTGTCTACTCAAATTTGGCCCCAATATAAATTAGGCAATCAAAACGTCTGGCTGCCTAACGGCTCCTTTGAATCAGGTCTAATTAGAGACCTTTACAACTTATGTGAGCGACAAGGAAAATGGTCGGAGATCCCATATATCCAAGGCTTTTCCTATCTTGCTAATCAGCCCTCTCTCTGTTCTGCCGCTAAAACTGCTCCAATACTTTTGCTGACTCAAAGCCTTTCTGCCACCAACTCCTCTTTTTCTGACTCTCCCACCCAACCTGATCCGGCAGATCCCCCTCCTTATCCTGCGGCAAAAACTCCTTCCACTCCTCCCCCTACTCCATCTGACTCCTCCCAACCCTCTGAATCTCCCGCCTCTCTCATTTCCCCTGGACCTCCCACTGCCCCACCTCATGCACCGACTCCACCCCTCACTCGCTCCAGGTCACACAAGGGCCACACAATGGTGCCCTTGCGCGAGGTAGCTGGAGCCGAAGGAATTGTCCGCGTTCATACTCCTTTCCTATGTCTGAACTAGCTCTCATTCAGGCCAGACTTGGTTCTTTTACAGCCGACCTGACTACCTTTATAAAACAATTTCAACTTTTGACTCAGTCTTACCAACTAACTTACCATGATCTCTTTGTAGTTTGAACCAATGCCTTAACTCCCGAGGAAAATAGAAGAGTGCTGGATCAGGCTCGTGCACATGCAGACCAAGAACATTTAACCAACAATCACCACCCGGCAGGTGCTGCTGCAGTCCCTGATCAGGACCCAGAATGGGACTACAACACAGAGGTGGGAATTGCAGCTCGAAACAGGTACCAAAATTGTCTCCTTCATGGGCTCTGCGGAGCTGCCATGAAGGCCATTAATTATGAAAAGCTTAATGAAATTATACAAGACAAGAACGAAAATCCATCCACCTTTTTACAAAGGCTAACTGATGGCCTCTGTCAACATACCAAACTAGACCCTGAGTCTGTGGATGGTCAGAGATTAATTATGATGCATTTCTTCTCTCAGAGCTACCCCAACATTAGACCTAAACTAAAAAAGCTTGATCGGGGGCCCTTGACCCCTCAGGCAGAGGTTCTGGCCACAGCATTCAAGGCCTACTATGGCCGAGATGACCTCAAAATTACAAAGAAATATCAATTATTAGCACAAGCTCTTAATTCGACCAGTCCACCTATGCCACAGGAAAGAAAGCCCCTACAAAAGGGCTCCCAACCACCAGGCCCCGGTTACAAGTGTCATCAGGAAGGCCACTGGGCAAAGGACTGTCCTAATCCCAGAGTGCCAACTAAGCCCTGTCCCAAATGCCACCAGAGGGGACATTGGGGCACAGACTGTCCCTTGGCGTCCACCCGCCATCAGACCATCAGCCCCACAGCTCCCCAACATGAGGACCTGATAGGTCTAGCGATAACGGAGGGACAATGAAGAGGCCCTGGCACATCTAGCCCAATGCGGATCACCACTCAGGAGCCCAGGGTAATCTTGACTGTGGCAGGTAGGACCATTTCTTTCTTATTGGATACTGGTGCCAGCTTCTCTGCACTATGAGAATATTGGGGACCTACCTCCCTTTCTCAGACTTCTCTATTGTTGGGGTAGAAGGCCAACTACAGCACCCTGTCCAGACTCCCTTACTGTCATACACAATTGGCAATTTTCCATTTCTTCATTCATTCCTGGTTCTCCCATCCAGTCCGGTCCGGTCCCCTTATTGGGCCGTGATATTTTTATCTCAAATTGGAACATCCATTCATTTTTCTATGCCGAGCCCTTCCAACACTCCGACAACTTCCCTCTGCCTGGTATTATCTCAAGCCCTCCAATCCTCATCTTCCCAACCCAATTGGCCAATTAGCCCCTCTCTTGTTAATCCTCAAGTGTGGGATATTCACTCTCCCTCAATAGCCAAATGTC